TCAGGTGGGCGTGTCTGAGAGTCTCCAGCTGCAGCCAATCCAGTCATTACGGCCCAGGGGATTTAAGGAGCAGTGTGGCACTTCACTTCGCCGGATGATTACTCTATCTTGGGTAGCTCTAGCCATAACCTGTCTTGATCCTGTGAAATTTCTAGTTCCTAGTCACTAACCTGTATTTGAAGCTCTGCTTGATTTCTGTCGTCAGAAGAAACCCTGATAATCCTCCCCTGCTCTGCTCCAGGTTTCTCTTTCACACTCCACCACCTCCATAACCAGCTTGGACTCCTGCACACCAGATCACGCCGTCTCCTCCCCTGGCCGCTCGCTCTCAGCCGCTCACCTGCCTCCACCAAACCGCTGCTCCTACCTACTCTCTGGACCAACAGTCCCATCACCTTCTGGAGCTTTCCTGCTCACCCGGACCTGATCAGTCCCTCCGGAGGTTCTCACCACAACTGCAATCAGTAAGCTCCACTCCCAATATCATTCTCCGTCATTCCTCCATATACTCATTTTGTCTCCCTCCTCAGAGTTCCATCCTGAAATCTTGCTGCCAGCCTGCCCGCCGTCTGTTCCCCTCGTTGCCCTTCAGTACATAATAAAGTCGTTTTACTTACTTACCGGTTCCTGTGTGGTGATTCTGCATGTCGTGGGTCAAAAGATTGCCGCCCGCCATGACAGAATCATCCGGCCATAACAATGATCCCATTGCAGAATCCAACCCGTCCACTAGTGCTCCGCTCGCTGTTTCTGAGGTTCTCACACGCCATGAACACGCCATCCATGGTTTACTGGAGCAAGTCTCCGACTCTCACCGACGAATACTCCAGATGGACACAATGTTACGTAATCTCACTACACGCTTAACTCCCTCGGAACCTTCTGCTCAGCCTCCCGTTTCTCCTCCATCCGTACTTCCGGTTCCGCCCCCTACTGTAAACTTCCGGATACCCAACTCGCCTCCTTCAGACATCTATTCCGGTGAGTTCGGCAAATGCAGTGGTTTTCTGTTTAATTGCCAGTTGGCTTTTGAAAGATCTCCTGAAGCTTTCATGTTAGATTCAGTTAAGATTTCCTATATTATCGGTTTACTCCGGGGTAAGGCTTTAGATTGGGCTGAAGCCGGGAGCCATGACGTTAGTTTTCTGCGTGGTCCACTTTCACATTTCCTAGCTGAATTCAAGCAAACGTTCGATCACTCAGAGACCCCAGCTGAGGTAGCCAAAAAAGTGTGGAATCTCCGCCAGGGAAATCAAACAGTAGCCGATTTCGCCATAGCATTTCGCACGCTGGCAGCAACTTCCTCCCTCGATAGTGGTTCGTTACTGGGAGCATTTACCCAGGGGTTAAATGATCGCCTCCAGGATCAGTTGGCATTATGCCAGGAACCTCCTGACCTCGAAACCCTTATTACCTTGGCCATAAAGATTGAAAAGCGTCTCAAGGAGCGTTCTAAGGGCTCTAGAATGTCATTTCCACCGCTAACTCAAACCAGAACCCCTCAGCCACCAGTTGCATCTTCCTCAGGAGACGAGCCTATGCAGATCGGCAGAACCCAGCTGAGTCAGGAGGAGCGGCAACGTCGTTTCTCCGCTAATCTTTGTTTTTACTGTGGTCAATCAGGGCACAGAATCTCAAATTGTGGCTTGCGGGTAAAAGGGCAAGCCCACCAGTAGTTCCGAGATTACTGGTGGGTGGTAATGGTGGCTCAAACTCCCGATGTTTGCTTCCTTGTACTGTGGTGTGTAATCAAAGAAGTCGTGTGTTGAAGGCTTTAGTAGACTCTGGATGTGAACGTAACATGCTGGACCAATCAGTCGTTCAAGATCTGGACATTCCCACTATTCTCCTTCCGACTCCTCTGCGAGCATCATCCCTGGATGGCAACTCTCTCACTACCATAACCCACCAGACCGTGCCAGTCAGCTTGCTGGTGTCAGGCAACCACCAGGAAAGTATCTCGTTTTTTGTTTTTCCATCTCCTCACTCCCCCGTAGTCTTAGGATATGATTGGCTGGTTAAGCACAACCCACAAATAAATTGGAAAACATCCCGAGTTACTGTTTGGAGCTCACACTGCCTAACTGACTGCCTTCGTTCTGCTCCACCTATCTGTTCAGCACCAACAGCCGATTCCCCAGTTCCTCCCGACCTGTCTGAAGTACCAAAGGAGTATCATGACCTCGCCCTTGTGTTCAGTAAGGACCGAGCCTCATCTCTACCTCCTCACCGTCCTTACGACTGTGCCATCGATCTCCTGCCGGGCGCAACACTTCCATCCAGCAGGTTGTATAACCTATCCAAACCCGAACAGCTCAGCATGTCCACCTACATTAACGAATCCCTAGCATCTGGTATCATCAGACCATCCACTTCACCACTAGGAGCAGGATTCTTTTTTGTAACTAAGAAGGATGGTTCACTTCGACCTTGCATTGATTACAGAGGGCTCAACCAGATTACAGTAAAAAACAAATATCCTCTTCCGTTACTGTCATCCACATTCGAACCTGTTCAAGATGCTACCATTTTCACAAAACTCGACCTACGCAATGCTTACCATCTCGTCCGAATCAGAGAGGGCGATGAATGGAAAACGGCGTTCAAGACTCCCCTTGGTCATTTTGAGTATTTAGTCATGCCTTTTGGTCTCACAAATGCCCCCGCAGTGTTTCAATCCCTGGTCAATTCTGTTCTTGGCGACTACCTCAACCAGTTTGTCACAGTCTATTTGGATGACATTCTTATTTTCTCCAGATCCCCTGCTGAACACCGACAACATGTCAGATGTGTACTTCAGCGCCTACTGGAGAACCGGCTCTATGTAAAGGCAGAGAAATGCGAGTTCCACGTACCCTCAGTTAAGTTCCTCGGCTTCATCCTTGAGAGCAGGCGGTTGAAGACGGATCCAGAAAAGATCAAGTCAGTTCTCTCCTGGCCTACTCCCACCACACGCAAGCAGCTTCAACGCTTCTTAGATTTTGCAAATTTTTACCGTCGTTTCATTAAAAACTACAGCCAGACTGCCGCCCCACTCACTCAGCTCACATCCATTAATAAACCCTTTATTTGGTCCCCCTCTGCTGAAGAATCCTTCCAAGCCCTAAAAGACAAATTCACGCAAGCACCTATTCTGACCCGTCCTGACACTTCTGCCCAGTTCACCCTGGAGGTTGACGCTTCTGACTCTGGTGTTGGTGCTGTGCTGTCACAGGTTTCCCCCTCAGATCACCGTCTCCACCCATGCGCTTTCTTCTCTCGCCGCCTCTCCCCAGCTGAGAAGAACTACGATGTCGGGGATCGGGAACTGTTGGCCATTAAACTGGCCCTGGAGGAGTGGCGACACTGGCTGGAGGGAGCGGAACACCCTATCATCATCTGGACCGACCATAAAAACTTGGCATATTTAAAGGAGGCTAACAGATTGAATCCTCGACAGTCCCGCTGGTCCCTGTTTTTCTCCCGTTTCCACTTTCTCATCTCTTTCAGACCCGGTTCCAAGAACACTAAACCTGACGCCCTGTCCAGACTGTATTCACCCGACAAAGACCCCGAATCAGCCCCTATTCTGCCACCATCCTGCATAGTGGGCGCTGTAGATTGGGACATCACAAAGAAAGTTCAGGATGCCCAGCAGACTGAACCCGATCCAGGTACCGGTCCACCACACAAGGTATATGTCCCTACCCGGGTTCGTGGTGATCTGATACATTGGGCCCACACAGCTAAATTCTCTATCCATCCTGGGGTTGGCCGTACACTGGCTTTAATCCGTAGAACCTTCTGGTGGCCCTCAATGTACAAAGACGTCCGTGAATACATCAGTGCCTGTTCCATCTGTGCCAGAAACAAATGCAGTAATCAACCCCCAGCTGGTCTTCTCAACCCACTTCCGGTACCCACTCGCCCCTGGTCTCATATAGCTTTGGATTTTGTTACTGGTCTACCCCCCTCTAATGGTTTTTCGGTCATTCTCACTATCGTCGATCGATTCTCTAAGTCCTGTCACCTGGTTCCTCTCAAGTCTCTCCCAACATCTGCCGAAACTGCCAGTCTACTAATCAAACATGTCTTCCGTCTCCATGGTATTCCTGCAGAGATCTTATCTGACCGTGGTCCTCAGTTCCTGTCCCATGTATGGAAAGACTTTGCAAACCACCTGGGGGCCCGTGTCGCCCTGAGCTCCGGGTTCCATCCTCAGACGAACGGACAATGTGAGAGGATGAATCAGGAGCTCGAAGCTATGTTAAGATGCGTGTGTTCATCCAACCCCTCGGGATGGAGTTCCCAATTGCCCTGGGTTGAATACGCACACAACGCTCACACCTCTGCATCTACAGGTTTGTCCCCATTCGAAACCGTTCTAGGTTACCAGCCCCCTCTGTTCCCATCCAGTCAGGACCCTCCTACCACAGCCCCCCAGTTCATTCGCCATGCCAGGCGCACCTGGGCTCAGACCACGGCGGCCCTTCAACGGACAGCTGACCGCAACCGCCGTCTGGCAGATCGCCACAGGCGACCTGCTCCTGTGTATGTCCCTGGGCAGAAGGTCTGGCTCTCCACCAGGGACATCCGGCTGAGGGACACCAGCAAGAAGTTGGCTCCGCGGTTCATTGGTCCGTATCCGATCACTGACGTCATTAGTCCCTCCGCTGTCCGCCTGGCCCTGCCTCCGTCCATGCGTGTCCACCCTGTGTTCCATGTCTCCCTGCTGAAACCTGTTCTGTCCAGTCCTTTGTGTCCTGCCCCTGCTCCTCCTCCACCTGCCCGGCTCGTCGGCGGTGGCCTGGTTTACCTGGTCCGCCGTCTCCTCGACGTCCGTCCCCGAGGCAGGGGCCTCCAGTACCTGGTGGACTGGGAGGGGTATGGTCCGGAGGATCGTTCCTGGGTTCCTCGATCCTTCATAACGGATCCGGATCTCATCAGGGACTTCGAGGCCTCTCGGGCTGCCTCCTCCTCCGCCTCCTCCTCCTCTGCTCGGCCGCCGGGTGGCGCCCGTTGAGGGGGGGGTACTGTCACGGTCCGTGGTGAGCCTCCTGCATTTCACCTGTATTTTCTGAGCATTGTTTTCAGGTGAGCGTGTCTGAGAGTCTGAGAGTCTCCAGCTGCAGCCAATCCAGTCATTACGGCCCAGGGGATTTAAGGAGCAGTGTGGCACTTCACTTCGCCGGATGATTACTCTATCTTGGGTAGCTCTAGCCTTAACCTGTCTTGAGCCTGTGAAATTTCTAGTTCCTAGTCACTAACCTGTATTTGAAGCTCTGCTTGATTTCTGTCGTCAGAAGAAACCCTGATAATCCTTCCCTGCTCTGCTCCAGGTTTCTCTTTCACACTCCACCACCTCCATAACCAGCTTGGACTCCTGCACACCAGATCACGCCGTCTCCTCCCCTGGCCGCTCGCTCTCAGCCGCTCACCTGCCTCCACCAAACCGCTGCTCCTACCTACTCTCTGGACCAACAGTCCCATCACCTTCTGGAGCTTTCCTGCTCACCCGGACCTGACCAGTCCCTCCGGAGGTTCTCACCACTACTGCAATCAGTAAGCTCCACTCCCAATATCATTCTCCGTCATTCCTCCATATACTCATTTTGTCTCCCTCCTCAGAGTTCCATCCTGAAATCTTGCTGCCAGCCTGCCCGCCGTCTGTTCCCCTCGTTGCCCTTCAGTACATAATAAAGTCGTTTTACTTACTTACCGGTTCCTGTGTGGTGATTCTGCATGTCGTGGGTCAAAAGATTGCCGCCCGCCATGACAGTCCTCATGTTCCACTTAACTTTTTAATTTCCCCAAGGGAGTTATTCTCTCACCTGTGCATGTTTTCAGTTTTACTGTAGTGCGTTTTAATTTTGGGTTGGGACATTTACCTCTGTAATCTTCATATGAGATCAGTGAGAGCACAGACCCAGTGTCCAGCTCCGTCCGTAACCCAACCCTTTCACCTTTGGTGTGATCCACATTGCATCATCATTTTTCTTTTGCAGTGAGTACAACTCCATGACTGTTAGAGAAGCATTTCAGGTGACTGCCTCTTGAAGCTCATCAAGAGAACGCCAAGAGTGTGCAAAGCAGTAGTCAGAGCAAAGGGTGGCTATTTGGAAGAAAATAGATTATAAAACATGTTTTCAGTTATTTCACCTTTTTTGGTTAAGTGCATAACTCCACATGTGTTCATTCATAGTTTTGATGCCTTCGGTGAGAATCTCCCAATGTAAATGGTCTTGAACATAAGACAAAACTGAATGAGAAGGTGTGTCCAAACATTTGGCCTGTACTGCATGTTGTCCAATCCTTCGTGTTTATCATAAATGTCCGTTTGTCCAACACCTCCTGACATTTTCTCTGTGTCTTTATAAAGTCCCTCACTTAAAATGGTATTACTCACATCCTCTCAGCAGCAGGGTTAGGGTTAGTGTTCAGCATCCATGCAGAGGGTCAGATTTATCCTCCTTATGTGTCTTTCTATGTTTAACGTCTTTCATACAATGATTTCCCCCTCTCTGCCGTCCATTGCACATCAGGGATACGTTTAATCCTCCTCGAGAGTTTGCTATATTCTTCTATATAACTTACCTATAAAGCTGAGTAACGTAGTTAGTGGAACATATCTACTTTTGAAATGAATTTACCACAGAGGAATACATTGTTCATGGTGCATACAAAATAGTACCAATTTTTCTGAACACATAACAACCACAACAACTACAGAGCGAGGCGGAACGAATACCACAAAATTTGCACAACGCCGTGCCGGCATGGCGCGTATAGAAGATACACCGTTAATATTATGCGTATTTACCGGCACAGTGTGTCTTGTAAAAAGGGCTTGAATCTTCATAAACAAATTCAGTTCTATTAAATTTTAATGTTTGTGGTCTCATTTTCTTTTCTAATGCTCTCATTATGCTCTCAGTGTTTGCATCCCGTCACAACCAGCTGACTGTCCTTTTACGTAGTTTTTGGTGGACATATTTTTTTTGTTCTGACTGAAGAAACTTTCCAACAGAGTGTCCTCCAGGTTTCCTTAACTCTGAAGGTTACACACCGAATAACAGAATAGAAAGTCACCAAATCATTAGTCAAAAACAACTTACTGTCATACGTGGAGCATGCAGCATCTTACCATTCTTGATGACTAACGAGGTGGACGTGGAACTGGTTGGTCCAGATGTCTCACTGGTCTCTGGGCTAGAGGGAGTTGGCTGTCTGCAGTTCCAGGAGGTAACGGGGGCCCGCTGTGAGGGTAAGAAGCTAGTAGGCTGGGAGCAGTTCTGAAAACACATCACAGACAAAGCTGTGGTCTCAAGTGTGAGGACAGATGATCTGTGTTCTGTCTGGCCACTCACCGTAAAAGACAAAGCCTTCCTCTTCTCTTTGATTCTCTTTATGGCATTCCTCACCTAAACCAGAGAAGATTTTACCTCCATGTTTTGGTCCTTTTCTAAATGATTCATAGATTGTGTCTCTGAGCGTTGAGCCTTCTTACCTCACTGTTGTAAACAGCATACACTAAGAAGATGTAAAGGCCCTGTGTGGAGAACAAACGAGTGTGAAACCAACATTTAGTTGTCTTCATAGGTTTAATGTAACACTTCACTATCAACCTCAGAACCTTCTCTTCTCCAGAAAAAAACAGTTTAGCTAATTTAGCTCTATTCAGCTCCTCTCCCTTTGGGAGCGCTCTAGATGGGGTCGGAAACATTTGAATCTGTACAAAACAAGCTGCTTTTTAAAAAAACGCTAAGATTGCTCAGTGTCTGGACACTGATACAGTAGAAATCTGGCCCACCACCTGACGTCAAGGCCATGTCACAACAGTGGCGCCAACATTTGGAAAACTTGTTTTTACATTTATTGTAGAAATGAGTAAAAACAGGACAAATATGTTTTGCTATTCCGAAGGTGTTCCCAAAAACCATAGAGGACATAGGCAGTGTCTCCTGCATAACCACATTCACACACACGCAGCTGTACACACATAATAAAGACAACTATCAGAAAACTAAAGCAGCTCCAAGTATCTGATGAAACTTATATTTAATTTGTGTCACACCTAATCAAAATGTTTAATTCAGCAGAATGAGCTGCAGTACATAAATAACTCTATTATTATAATGATTAAATCTATTAGTATTTAAGGCTATATTCAGTATGAGTTCAATACTTGTGCTTTTCCGGATGTACGTTGGTATGTCTGTGTCCCTTAAGCTGCATAGTTCTGGAAACACAACGTTTCTTCAATTCAATGTTTTTAGTGGTTGAAGGTTACAATAATAGCTTACTGCCTTTGTGTGTTTACCTCTAATCTTGTTTATATTTTCAATTTCCATTTCGCTAAGTGTTGGTGCTGCTGTAACAAGTGACTTTCCCCAGACTTTACAAATTCTATTCTATTCTATTCTTTACAGTTTATCTACATAGTGCCAAATCACAACAAGTGTCTGGCAAGGTGTCTGCCTCACGGACTAAAGCTGGGAGTTGGCTCCACAGGAGAGGAGCCTGATAGCTAAAAGATCTGTCTCCCATCCAAATTTTAGATATTCTGGGAACCACCAGTAAACCTGCAGTCTGAGAGCGAAGTGCTCGGTTAGGAACGTATGGAACAATCAGATCACTGATGTATGATGGAGCTTGATTATTAAGAGCTTTATATGTGAGAAGAAGGATCTTAAAATCTATTCTGAATTTAACAGGTAGCCAATGTAGGGAAGCTAAGACAGGAGAGATATGATCTCTCTTTTTAATTTTCATCAGAACTCTAGCTGCAGCATTTTGGACAAGCTGAAGACTTTTAACTACATTCTGTGGACTTCCTGAGAGTAATGAATTACAGTAATCCAGTCTTGATGTAATAAATGCATGAACTAGTTTTTCAGCATCACTCCTGGAAAGGATGCTTCTAATCTTAGCAATATTCCGAAGGTGGAAAAAGGAAATCCTACAAACCTGATTAACCTGGGATTTGAATGACATGTCCTGGTCAAAGGCACCAAGGTTCTTTGCTTTGTTCTTGGAGACTAATTTAACAACGTTCAGATCAGGTGATTGACTAAGCAATTTCTTTTCTGAAATTCCGGTCCAAATATAAGAACTTCAGTCTTGTCTTGATTTAACTCATTCACTGCCAGCCGTTTCCTGATCGCTAAAGGCCTTCGCTGCCAGCGTTTCTCACCGTTTTTACTGCTTTTTTAAGAGTCACAGAAAATTGCGCACTAGCATGATGTCGACGTCAAAACAGCCAAAGCAGCCAAAACAAAGCGGAGACTAACCTCTTACATCAGGAAGAATCCGCGTGTTTCGAGCATTATCCGTTCTTTTATAATCCGTTGTCAAATTCTGATTGGCAAACCCTTTTAGAGTTCGCGCCTCACGATTTTTTACAGGAGCGGCCCAAGACTATCTAACACATGGATTTTCTGCTTCCTGATCATGTGACAAGTGACGTATGCGGATGAAGATCGGCTTCAGAGCTGAGATGTTTGTTCTCTCAGCGTGGGGGCTCGTTCCGATGCCCAAACAGTAAAAAAAAATTGCAAATGATGACTTTAGTTGTCATTGGCAGTGAACGGTTGGATTTAAAATGACGACTTCAATCGTCAATGGCAGTGAATGAGTTAATAGCAGAAAGTTTAGAGTCATCCATTTATTTATGTCTTCAAGACAAACCTGTAATGTACCTAATCGATGAGATAGATGTAGAATTTTCCTCTCCACTGTCGCTGCATGCTTGCTTAGTATGAGGATTGCTGTAAAGACTCTGACACTAGTCAGTGACTCGATGCAACCTGCTGGGTTCCTTTTATAGGACACTTTTTACTGATTGGCTTAATGAACTGACATGTATTGGAATGTTTACTATGTGAAGTGCCTTGAGACGACTCTTGTCGTGATAAACTTGAACTGAATTGAATATATGTTTGGCCATTTCAACTCTGAACTGTATTTTTTTTCTGTGTGCCTGTGTTTTCGTTTGGATGTTAATCATGGAATTAGGTGGACAAAAAGACAAGCTGTGGTTACTAACAGACCATCCAAGCAGTTTTTGCTTCTTTTTATCAGTAAGTAAAATTATATTTCTGTACTTCATTTTGCTGGTTGAATACGGGAAAATGCTGTCATTTAACTGCTTGGTCAAACATGTTAGTCGGGCTGCATGAGAACCTTGAGCGGGTGCCCAGCTTCTCCTGTCTCCTGCCTGAGGATAGCATGGGGCTGCTGTTCCCATTTTGCGGGGCAGCCGGGCCGGCTCTGAACCAAGGCTGTATTCATTCTGGTCAATGTTGGGTCTCTAAGGAAGACCACAGAAACACCGCAGCCCGTTTTCTTGACACTGCTTCACTTTTGAGACGCTCACCGCATTTTTCTCACTGGAAATGCCCAGGAAAACTCCATTAGCTTCGGGTTAGTATGCAGCTAATGTCCTGCTGATTTCTGGCTCCCGGACTATAAACAATGGCGGACACGCAAATCTTTCACCGCGGTGGACCAATGAAGCCCGATATCCTTGGTTACATAGTTATGATTTAGTTACTAAGCATGCCGGAGAAGCCTTTACTATGGCGTCGCTCAGCCGTGTTTTTCTTGCTGAAAACAGTCGGAAAAACTGTGTTAGCTGTGGGTTATCATTTAGCTAGTGTCCCGCTTATCTCCGACCGTGGAGCAAGAGCTGATGTAAAAGGCAATGGCGCCCGGCTACGATCGCAACGGTCTGAGGCTCTGCTTGTAATTTAACAGTCCCAGTCCATATTAGATGTTCACAGGCAACCAGCATGCCTACAGCCTTGCATGGGGGCCAATCTGCCATGCTGGTGGGATACCCCGGTCCAAGGAGTCCTTATTTGGGTTAGCAAAATTAGCTAGAAGCTACACTGGTTCATTTGTTTCAACCCTGTGTCATGTTCTGCGGGTGGAGGTGGCAGACCATGTGTGGTGGTGGGTTCCGGAGGCAGATGAGCAGGCAGACGGATGTAAAAAATAAAAAGCTGTTTATTGTAAGACAGGAGCAACAGGACGAACGAACATGGACAACGACAATGAACCGACAAAGACAACAACCAGGAGGGAGGTATAAATACACAAGGGAATCAGGAACACATGGGCAGAGTAATCAGGGACAGGTGAGAACAATTAGGCAAATCAGGGCAGGAGAGACACAGTCAGGGAGGCTGGGGCGGATCATGACAGTACCCCCCCCCCCCCCCCCCCTCAAGGGGCGGATACCAGACGCCCACAAGCCACAAAACACAGGAGACACGGGCACGAACGAAGACCAGACCAGGGCACACACGACAAGAGAACACAGAAGACGAGACCAGGGAACAAGGAACACCATCCAGGGCTGCGGAGCAGGGGCCTCTCGGTTCAGGCGGCACTCCATCTTACGACCAAACAGATGTGTCCAAGAACTTAGACCAGGGAAACTCGGACCAGAAGACTTGGACTCAAGGACGGGGCACAAGGACTCGAACACTTGGACTTGGGCACAGGGACTCAAACACTTGGACTTGGGCACAGGGACTTGACACAACGACTTGGACTTGACACGACGACTTGGACTTGACACGACGACTTGGACTTGACACGACGACTTGGACTTGACATGATGACTTGACTTGACACGATGACTTGACTTGACACGATGACTTGACTTGACATGATGACTTGACTTGACACGCAGACTTGAGTAGACTTGACACGCAGACTTGAGTAGACTTGACACGCAGACTTGAGTAGACTTGACTTGACACGCAGACTTGAGTAGACTTGACACAAACACTTGACTCCAGGAATACAGGACACCAGGAACACAGAGACGAACTGCAGCAGCAGGCTTGGGACCCAGCAAGAACTGCAGCAGCAGGCATAGGCACCAGCAGGAACTGCTGCGTGGAGAACCTGCAGGCACAGAACCTGCAGGTGTGGACCAGGAAGTGGTAGAGCAGAGGGAGCGACGCGTGGAAGCCCAGTTTGGCGGCAGGTACTCGACATCCCAATCAGAGCAGGTGCACATCCCGATCTGCTGGGTCCATCGGTGGAGGCTCGGGTGAAGGGAAGCCGGAGAAGAGCGGGGAGACCTGCCCTACCACACCGGAGAACAATGGCGTGCACAGGGGGTGTAGCTCCCTTGAGGCTCCAGGATCCACCGGAAAAGAGCGGGGAGACCAACCCTACCACACCGGAGAATAATGGCGTGCGTAGGGGGTGTAATTCCCTTGCGGCTCCAGGATCCGCGGCTTCAGGAGAAGAATGGGACGGGGCAAAAATAGCTGGAGGAGAATGACCCTGGCCACCCCGAAGATAAATAGGATGCGCCAGGATCTCCCAGAGGAACTTCGACCACCCCGAGAACAGGTAGGATGCGCCGAACACACAAACTCCAGGCCAGAAATCTCCCACAACTGAAAGGGACAAAAAAGAAAAAATAATCCTCCAGGAACAGATGTGTTAGCTCACCACAGGTCCAGGTTTGGTCGGTTCATTCTGTCATGTTCTGCGGGTGGAGGTGGCAGACCATGTGTGGTGGTGGGT